ATTAATAAATTCCTATTGTTTTCTGAAATGAGTATTAAAACGAGAGAAAAACGGCTTTCCTATAGTTAATCCATTAATATATTATTTAAATTAGCAAAAGATTCATTGGAGTGAATACTGAAATATATATTATTTCTTACACACATTTACGCGTATATATCAAATTGAAAAGAAAATGCGATTTCTATTTTCGTTTAAATGCCTCAAAATTATAACTTTTCTATCCGTACGACACATCTCTCTACGAATTTCTTCGTATAATATAACAGTTAAAGACATAATTATATGTCATTTACTCCGGGTATGGATCACAAGAATAGAAAGCTTTTCCATCCAATGGTAGACGTATTGAAAAATTTCCAGATTAACCCATCGTCTCTCTCTCTCTCTCTCTCTCTCGAGACGACAAAATTAAAATGAAATTAGTCTTCAATTCCCTTAAGAAATAAAAATGCAATAAATGGTGACACAAGAAATATTGCCACAGAAAAAAAATATCTATAAATTTGGAGCAAAAATATCTACAAAAACACAATTATAATGAAAATCGAAAATAATTTGAATGAAAAAAAGAGAAATAAAGGAATTTTCTCTGTAAACGAAAATGTCATTCATTAATGTTTAATAAAATTAATTATTTATTTTGTGTGATAAGGATTGACAGAAGTCTTACTATTTTTGTTTATTTTAATATTAATGAGTGTGATTTGGTTACTAATGTTTACCAAACCATATGTTTAGTGGACGCCCCTCCGTCTATAGTGTACACTATAGTGGACGGCATATCAGGCGTGGACACGGAGGGCCGACTCATACTAATTCCGGGAACTATTGTTCACTTGCTAACAGATATAGTCGCTTTATTACCATTAGGAGTAACCTTAACCTGATTGTGAGTCTCCATATTGTGTTAACTTAACGAAAGGGTAATTATAAATATTTAATTGTGTTTACGCCTATATAAAGTGTACCGAGACTCTCATTACGATTGACATAAATATTGACTAAACTTTATTCAAACAAACCAAAGGATGACAACAAATCTTTATGAATGATATTAATATCCATCAAAAATATTAAATTTAATTTTATTTAATCTAGATTCTAGATTTTTTGCAAATACAATTAATATCAAATCAAATGAATAAACTAAAAAATCTGTATTAACATATTGAATTGTATTGGTTGATTATAGTTATTTAGCTAATATTTATTTAAAATACTGTATTACGAACATACAAAGTATATCTGAAATATAATTTATGATATTAATTACCACCGCTATCATTATTTTTTAAATTGACTATAAAATAATGAACATTTAAGATAAACAGAATTGTTTAAAAAATAGAAAATACAATTTTTTTTATAAAATCAATAAATAATAAAACACAAGTCTTTTGCGAATGTAAATACTTTTTGTAAACTTGAAAAGTACGACAAAATAATGCAGTGATTCATGAAATTTGAGATTAAAATCTTTTTATTTTATTTTCGTTGAAAGGTCTATAAATTATACAAGAATATTCTGTATACAATATTCCTTATATATATCACACGCCATAAGTCGCATAACACAACACATATAAGTTATTCAAACGTATTATTACAGTACTCTGTGTTAAGACAATGTATTTTATCCGACGATCTCTTATTAAAGTCAAAAAAGGAAACTTTAATATCACTAATACATTGACTGAAAGTATATAAAGTGTAAAGAATTGTCTTATAGTCTCAAACACATAGACAGAGAGACATTAATCAGATGTAATACATTGTATTGAGTGACACCCGAACACACAGAGAGAGCATAGAGAGAGTGCTCTCTCGTCTCACTCCTTCTACCTCTTATTCAGTCTCTCTTACTGTCTCTCTTTGCTTGTCTTACGATACAGACAATACACCAATGGATGGGCTATTAATACTGATCCTCAGGCCTGGAAATACAGACTATCAATCTATTACAGCAAACCAGAAGACACGGGAGTGTTCACGTGTACGGCACCGGATGGCAAATANTACTCCGGGTATGGATCACAAGAATAGAAAGCTTTTCCATCCAATGGTAGACGTATTGAAAAATTTCCAGATTAACCCATCGTCTCTCTCTCTCTCTCTCTCTCTCGAGACGACAAAATTAAAATGAAATTAGTCTTCAATTCCCTTAAGAAATAAAAATGCAATAAATGGTGACACAAGAAATATTGCCACAGAAAAAAAATATCTATAAATTTGGAGCAAAAATATCTACAAAAACACAATTATAATGAAAATCGAAAATAATTTGAATGAAAAAAAGAGAAATAAAGGAATTTTCTCTGTAAACGAAAATGTCATTCATTAATGTTTAATAAAATTAATTATTTATTTTGTGTGATAAGGATTGACAGAAGTCTTACTATTTTTGTTTATTTTAATATTAATGAGTGTGATTTGGTTACTAATGTTTACCAAACCATATGTTTAGTGGACGCCCCTCCGTCTATAGTGTACACTATAGTGGACGGCATATCAGGCGTGGACACGGAGGGCCGACTCATACTAATTCCGGGAACTATTGTTCACTTCGATTGTCTATATCAGCGAAATAATGGTAATCCTCATTGGAATTGGACTAACACTCAGAGGTATAACACAATTGAATTGCTTTCCCATTAATATTTATAAATTAACACAAATGCGGATATATTTCACAACCGAGACTCTCATTACGATTGACATAAATATTGACTAAACTTTATTCAAACAAACCAAAGGATGACAACAAATCTTTATGAATGATATTAATATCCATCAAAAATATTAAATTTTATTTTATTTAATCTAGATTCTAGATTCTATGCAAATACAATTAATATCAAATCAAGTGAATAAACTAAAAATTCTGTACTAACATATTGAATTGTATTGGTTAATTATAGTTATTTAGCTAATATTTATTTAAAATACTATATTAGGAACATATATCTGAAATATAATTTATGATATACTCTATAATTATTTAACATTGCATTATTTTTTAAATTGACTATAAAATAATGAACATTTAAGATAAACAGAATTGTTTAAAAAATAGAAAATACAATGTTTTTTATAAAATCAATAAATAATAAAACACAAGTCTTTTGCGAATGTAAATACTTTTTGTAAACTTGAAAAGTACGACAAAATAATGCAGTGATTCATGAAATTTGAGATTAAAATCTGTTTTATTTTATTTTCGTTGAAAGGTCTATAAATTATACAAGAATATTCTGTATACAATATTCCTTATATATATCACACGCCATAAGTCGCATAACACAACACATATAAGTTATTCAAACGTATTATTATAGTACTCTGTGTTAAGACAATGTATTTTATCCGACGATCTCTTATTAAAGTGAAAAAAGGAAACTTTAATATCACTAATACATTGACTGAAAGTATATAAAGTGTAAAGAATTGTCTTATAGTCTCAAAAACATAGACAGAGAGACATTAATCAGATGTAATACATTGTATTGAGTGACACCCGAACACACAGAGAGAATAGAGAGAGCATAGAGAGAGTGTGCTCTCTCGTCTCACTCCTTCTATCTCTTATTCAGTCTCTCTTACTGTCTCTCTCTTTGCTTGTCTTACTCAACAGACAATACACCAATGGATGGGCTATTAATACTGATCCTCAGGCCTGGAAATACAGACTATCAATCTATTACAGCAAACCAGAAGACACGGGAGTGTTCACGTGTACGGCACCGGATGGCAAATATAATCAAATTAATGTCTTAGTTAAAGGTAAGTGAATATATCGGTCGCACCAACACATGGCAATGATTTTCAATTTTCTCGTTATTTATTTATATTCTGTTTATTCTGTTTATTCTGTTATATTCTGTTATATTCTGTTATATTCTGTTATATTCTGTTATATTCTGTTATATTCTGTTATATTCTGTTTATTCATTAATGTTTTTGCGATAAACACTGTCACAGAGAAAGCGCTTTTTTCACAGGGTTTCCGAGTTTTCAGTTTTTATATTCTGTTATATTCTGTTTATTCTGTTATATTCTGTTATATTCTGTTTATTCATTAATGTTTTTGCGATACACTGTCACAGAGAAAGGGATTTTTTCACAGGGTTTCCGAGTTTTCAGTTTTATACTCATTTGGTCTCTAATCCTATTAATGTTCATAAACTTATATAAAACTCGGTTAAAAACGTAGATAAGACAAGTGAGTAAGCGCTATTTAAATTAAGTTTTTAAAAGAAAGTTTTCTTATTAATTTCCGAATTAGATTCATATTTTAATTTCAGAAATAGGCATTAATTAATACATTGAGACTATATGTATGGACGCAAAAAAATGTTAAATCAAATACTGTATATTACACGGGTAAAAGCAATTTTGAGATAACGTCGTATAAATGCTTGAAATTTTAATAATAGATGAGTTTTAAACGCACCTAAATATACACGGTAATTGAATTGTGAATAAGTAAATACTGTACAGATTTTATTTCACCTACATATCCTATACCACTAGTCATACTTTCAAGTTATCAAACATTATTTTACACGACTTTTAACAAAGGGGTGAAAAATTTAAATAACTTTTCCTTATATATTTGGTCCCATTTCAATGGCAATGATTGTATCAATCGTTAGAAACTTTAATGTTATTATTATTTAAAAAAACGATTTTTGTTTACGTTTACTCAAATGGCATCAGAGAGTAGTGTATATTTCAAATTGAATTCGCTGTGAATTTTGATGCAAATAAGTATAAACCGGGTTTTTCTACGAGGATTTTTTTGATATAATAAAAGTTGCTTTAATGCAATGAAACGATACACATGTTTTTGACAGCTTTTATTCTTAAGGTATGGCTACTGTTATGAAAGGAATATACAATTGAAGTCATCTTTAAAATTATAGCTCACATATCCCTTAAGACTTAAGTCAACTCAATATTCACGTAAGCCTTAAGAATACACTCTATTTTGTCAAAAACTGAAGTTTTCATAAATTGAAGGATATTTATGTATAATATATAAAATTTTATGCCATTTTATAATAATTGGCAAACATATAACGCCCACATATCTAACCCGCATATAGTTTTTATTTGCTATATTATATATTTATTTTTACATAGAAATTTAATTTAACTAAAGCAAATATTAAATATCCTGGTAAGATAAACTATACATTATTCTGAGTGAATTCGATATGATTTTGTTTGCTATTATTTAAAATATAAATTTGTGTATAAAAGAGTACCGGTACATCTTATTTGATAGCGACTATTGATAAAAGAAAATATATTTTGAAATAACATTTATTTTACTATTGTATTAACAATGAATAGAAATGTATTATTTGTAATTCTTTAGGAATACATTTAAAGTAATTGAATGAAAATCCATTACTGAACTAGTTTATAGCAAAAATAATGTCAATATGATTTATAAATTTTAAAAATAATATTGTCACTATATTATGATATTTATCTGATATATTGTTATTTTTAACATTACCACAAAATATTCTGATAATGTCAAATAATTAAAATTACTATTTTTATATTGTGCACCAATATATTTAGTATTTGGAGCAATATCAAATTAAATGAACAAAAATGAGTATATAATTAAGTTGTCATTAATCTGATTATATTTAATAGCAAAAATCACACACAGATTTCAAACGTATTAATTGGCAACTCATTTGTAAAAAACCAATTTATATTTTCAATAAAAACTTTTATCAAACGTGCGTTTGATATGAAAAGCCCTTAAAGTCAACGTCTGGTGTATATAAATATAGTGAAACATAACAAGTATTACATGTTTTACATAACAGCATACGAAAAAATTAATTACATTTTTTGTCAAAACGTCTTTAATTATTTCGTCAAAAAAGAGTATTAGTCTTAAAAAAATAATAATTTGTTTCAACAAAGTTTTCAATGTAATAATTTACCGGTAGTTTTAGGAGACTTTAAGAGTATTTAGTTGTGTAAATAAAGGGCACGTTTTTACGTAACACTTGTTTTTAAACGCTTATAAACTTACCACTCATTCAAAAAAGCCTTCAAAAGCAGAATAATATTAAAGAAAATATCGGTTAAAGTATTTATTATTATTATTATTATTATTTTTCAAAAATAGACACACTTTCTAATGCATAAATATTTCATAAACATCACAATTGTTAGCCTAACATAAAAGAAATTGTATAATAATTCTGTTTGTTTTATAGTTACAGAATAAATATTCGCTTAACTTTTATTTCATTTTATATTTATTACATGACTTTTATAGAAAAGTCTTACTTTTGCATGCAGTCGTCATAAAAATATTATTATTATAAAAGATTTGAGATTAAAGACCCGGATCTTTGGGATTTTGAATTCAAATTAAAAATTAATATTTGGTTTACTTACGCACTTTTGGGAGTTATTTAATTTTATTAAATTGAAAAGATTTTACATAATTTTCATATTCATTAAAACTTATACTGTATTTTAAAACATTAAACCACCTAGACTATATAATATATTATATATACAAAGTATATACTGTATATATCTCGCACTCACGCACTCTAGTCAAGTATTACCAATGCCTTACGGTTACAAATATGATATGATTTGAAATTGTCATGGACTTTTATGAACTATAATTTTGAGTATTTAATATTGCAATCAAAGTAATTCACTTTGAATCAATCGAAATATTATTTGCAGTGAAAATAATTTTTCAAATAAATTATTATTTACATTTTAGACAAGTTATCAAGTTAAAGTTAGACATTTTATCAATATTGAATATGGGATATTAGTTGGAATTATTAAATTGTGAATGAATTACCAATTGGATAAATATTATAATGATTTTATAAAGGGTTAAGAATTACTAGGAATTGTTTTATCATATTTATTCACATTTTATATTTGAATTTACATCAATTAATGATTTTATACTACATTTTCTTTAAACATAATTTTATATTAATAAAACATATAAGTATACTGTATATTCTGTACTGTGTATAAGTTGACATAAGTTAGAAATAAGTTACAAATTATTTGATAAATGTAGTGCATCTCGCATATTTCTATTGTACATAAAATAATTTTTGGAAACAACACTAAATTCTCTATTAAATGAAAAATATTTATTTTCTCAATTCTGATTAATATTGCAATTGCTATAAGCTTTTAACGCCATTTAACCTAATGACCAAATATTCATTTAGAAATCTATTTACTCTATATTTCTGTTATACTGTTCAGAGTATTAGAGAATATTCTTTTAATGGATATAAAGTGCTTCCTTTGGGTACTGTTTTGTGGCACTATTTTTTGCGCAAAACTTTTGTGTCCGTAAATTATCGATTAAATATATATTATATTAGATATTCTCATTGTACGGCTCTTTTCTCTCAATTCAATAAATCTCTCTCTCTCTCTCTCTCTCTCTCTCACACACATCTAAATGCCTGTGAATGACTTATAAATGTAAACCGAAAAAGCCTTTTATCGATATCTCTAATGAGCGTCTTTCTCTCTCTCTCTCTCTCTCTCTCTCTCTCCTATGCCTCACTCCTATGCATTCAACGTATACGTAATGGTGTGGACGCGCCGGCAGATGTTGAGTGTCCGCTCATCGATTCGTTTGACGCCAATCGAGTTATGTCTGTTGAGGGCAATCGTATGCACGACAGGTCCCGCTTCTCGTGCGTCGAGGGCTTCTACCTCGAGGGCACTCAAGAGATTACATGCCTTTCAAGCGGCCTCTGGTCTGACAGTCCCCCCAAATGTAAAGGTATGTATGTATGGAGCACTCCGTGTGACCCCCCATTCATTGTGACTTTTGTATATTATGCCATTTATTAATTATTTGTACGTTTCATACAATACCAGAATATTCTGGCCTTTTGTATGAATTGATGTGTTGTCGACAAGTATTCAATTGAACATCTATTCAGTAATCAGTGTTTTTGTTGTAGAGCTCTATTCAAGTGATTTTCATGATCCAATTAATTGTCAATATTTGCTCACAGAATCAAAGTACAATATTCCTAGTAATTAATTATTTTTAAAATTTCTTTTAACGTTAATGAGTGAATATTTCTCTTAATTATATGTATAATAAAATTGTGTTATATTCTAAAGTAAGCACACAATGGTTATTGAAAATACACACAGTATATTGAAATTTATATTTAATTATTAATACTGTATAGTGTGTAGAAAACACATGAAATATAGTAAAATATTTTATTTATGAGATTAGTTTCTGTTTTTTTGTATTGAAATATAGCTCAAGATTTGATTCAATTTTTCTGTTGTTCATAAAATATACGGCAAACCCTTATAAACTCAATTCACGGCAACCATTATTTATTTATACAATTTCTATGCACAGAAAAGACTCAAACATTTCTGTTTCAATAAATAAAAACAATACGAATGGAAAGAGTTGAGACAATTGAGGAGCACATGACTTACGATTATCTCTCAAATGATGATTATTATTGTGCTTTTGTTTCAAATCTAAACTGAAGAGACCATTAATGGCATACAAAGAGAGAGAGAGAGAGAGAGAGAGAGATAAAAACTTTTGAATTATTTATGCGTTTCGTTGTTTGGGAAATAAATTTATATCAATAATAGCTATCCTTTTCTCTGTGTCTGTATATAAATAATTGTCACATAAGATAAATATTTCTGACGTGTTGTTAGACTTTTAAATAGCGACTCATTTACGGAATGTTTAAATAAAAATTTGAGACATCTTTCCAGGGATAGAGCACATGGACTACTCGTCGACAATAATTGCATGTATTGTACGACAAATGTATAGTTAAATGTAGTGGAAGTCAATAAATTTTTGGGGAAAATTCTCTATGAAAAACAATTTACAGAATTATTCTCTCAATATATTCTGTTCGCTATATTCATCTTATTAATAGTTTTTGACAAAATTTCCAAAAATGTTAACAACATTTTTGACAATAATTCATACGATTCGCTCCCATATGTGTTCATTCGTATTCTCATTCATCTCTCTCTCTCTCTCTCTCTCTCTCTCTCTCTCACTCAATTCACGGCAACCATTATTTATTTATACAATTTCTATGCACAGAAAAGACTCAAACATTTCTGTTTCAATAAATAAAAACAATACGAATGGAAAGAGTTGAGACATGCTCCCATATGTGTTCATTCGTATTCTCATTCATCTCTCACTCTCCTCTCATATATTTTTTGTTATAAACTTTAGGCCAAAAAATAAATCTTTATTTTCAGTGAACAGAACTTTCGATAAATTCGCACAAAAATCTGATCACAAAACTACGAAACCTATTGAATCTCTCTCTTTCCGCTGAAATATAATTCGTTGGAAAAAAATTCTCTGAAAAATTTTCCCTTTTATTAAATTTCTTTATTCAAAAAAGTTTTATTTCCACTATTTTTCTCAATAGAATCTGAAATACAGATCGATTTTAAGGCTCCAAACACATTGTTCTCATATCATGTCTGTGGGTGTGATGTTTGTGTGCAATGGAAAGCCTTGCAATCAATTTCTCTATTCGCACACCTGTGCTGATCAGAGACCACTGGCTTACCTATGCCTGAAAGCTAGCTTAAGTAAACAACAGGATTATACAATTATTGTATATAATTATATTTAATTGTTTCTATATTTAAATATTTCAACTCAAAAGTGTGATTTATTTTTAATATTTACCTTTGTTAACAGATTCTATATCAAATAACCTTTAAAATGAACTATATTAATAACACTTTGTTATTCATTATGTTACTAACGAAGTAAATAAAAAGGAAATTAAACAATTTTTATGTAATTATAGTTTGTTTACGTAGAATAAATCTCAATCCTTATTTAATAGGGTTAATATCAGAACTATTATTAACTAACAAACATTTCTTCTTAAATTTACTACACTGTAATGAATGTGAGCTGGCACATATAATTGCTGCTAGCCTAGTGATGGTCAGACATCACAATTACAGTAATTGCTTGATGTCCATAGGAATTTGTTACACTCGACAGCTACCAGATATATCACTGTAACAAAAGATCTATAAAAATAATTGTATTTCCATTTTTCCGAAATATTTTATTCTGTCGTAAGACAATACTTTAAATATATTCTACAGAATATATTATATATGATTGTGTATGCCTGGTGGAAAGTCATTGGGATGGCATTGAGATAAATTACAGGCACATCAGTGTTTGTTGTGAACCAATTATTTTATATGTAAGAAATTCTCAGAAATAAGAGCTCGTGAACTGGAATTTCGATCACTTTGTGGACAAACATATCTGTGAGTTATATAAGAAAGGCGAGTGTAATAGACAAGTGTATGACTGTATGCCTGTCTCTCATCATTATATAATGCCAACACAACTCTACTATACTGTTTGGTCTATCATGTGAAGGCACTATCACTTTGTTAGGGCTTGTATTCATTGCATCCCAACCATCATCTCATTCTCGTCTCTATTCTCTCGCCTTTTTATTCTTCATATCCTTTTCATTCGCACATATTTTCCTTCCTGTGCTCCACTCCACTAATCTATGTATTAGTGTACCCCTAGTGCACAGATAGTGTGCCTTTTCTCTCTATAATGAACACCCATTATGTGATGAATGTCTGTATTGATTACAGTGATAGAGTGTCCGCCGCTGAACGCCGACGAGGATCTGTATCTCCGAGTGAGTGACCACAACCGCACGTACGCCAGTAGAGCCCAGTTCTCGTGCACCACTGGATACAAACTAATTGGTCCCCAATTTGTCACATGTCGCAAGAACCGCACGTGGAGTCAAGACATACCCCATTGCGAAGGTATTATCCTATAGATTATCTCTTGTTTTGCCGTTTGTTTTGTACAAAACTATTATTATTATATGTGTTTTGTTTGATTGTTCGTTGAAATCAACACTTTTTCAACTTTTTTTTTCTTGTCGGCAATTGTTTGTCATTACAAAAGCGATCTATAAATTCAATTCATGTCTTACGCTGTAATTCGCGGCATTGATCATACATTTTGGCTTAAAATTTATTGCTTTTGAGGACAGATATTGTTTTAGTTTTATTATAAAAATAACTTTCCATTTAATGCAATCTTGTCAAGAAATCAATTATAGATTAAATGCTTTTTTCTCACTTTCACTCCTTCGCTGAAAATTCTGTACGGAATGCAAAGCATAGCGAGTATTATAATGTCAAATAATAAGCAAATACTATAATACCTTATATTTTATTAATATATATGCAAATAGCCTTTTGGTGTCATATTTTCACATCTTATTCGAGTTTTCCATATATTCTTCTATATATTCGTTGATGTCTTTCTCAACACCAAGTAATCAATTAAATCCAAAAATTCAGAACTCATTTGCATTTTCAGACAAATGGCAAATATATTAAAAGTTAATTTCGTTTTTTGAGTGAACACGAGATGAAAAACTAATTTTCACTAAATGTCTAAAAATGGGTAAAGTTTTATTCATTCGTAAGGTTTTTATTTAAAAGATTTATTTCATTAAGAATTGCGAACAGAAAAACGCTTTAAATGAAAATATATTTAAATTGAAATCCATGTAAAAAAATTAGGAAATCTGTCGACAAATGTTTAATTTTGAAATACTTTAGTCGAAACTTTTCATTAATTATAATAAAAAGCATTTATTTCTCAAATAAACAGACATTATAATTGAAAATATCACCCAGCTGTATGGGTGCATACAAATAAAATACATCGAGAATACCGTATTGTGTTATCAATTGCTATCTATTATTATATGTGTTCTCAGTATTGAAGTGAAAAAAATTTATATCCACTCTATCTTCTCGTCTATTCGTTTACTGATTGCACTTTTCTCTCTTATATCACTTATTTGAGCCCTACTTTTATTTGTTTTTCTCACTTTTTTTGTTCCCGTAAATTCTTATACTTTTATTTTACGACTTTTTCCATCATTATATACAATATTACTTTATTTCTTTCATAAATTCATTTTGAGATTTCTCTCTCTCTCTCTCTCTCTCTCTCTCGAACTCATCGAAAAATTCATTTGTTTTATATCTTGAAAATATAATAAATTGTTTGATATTATATTTTTCTATCAAAAATGAATAAAATCTCAATTTTCTATCGAATGAAAAATCTATAAAACCGTTAAAATGATTTTTAAGTATTTCTTATTTTTATAAATTTTGGTCAAATATTCAGTAAAGTCACGATTTGTTTATTTTATATGCAAACGACATATTTTTCAATGTGCATAATGTGCTAGAAAATTTAATATTGAAACAAATAAAGTAATAATAAGAAAACATTGAAATCCAGTGTCACTCTCGAGAATATTCTTTATATTCTGTTATATTTGTGTTTTACCTGAAATTCTACCGAAAGAAAGATAAGAGAAAAATATTGATTTTCCTAAAAGTTGGCAAAACTACTA